TTTTTTTTTTTAGATTTATCTATGAACGCGCGTTTTTAAGGCACCGGGATGCGGCGGCCGGAGGAGGCGACCCCTGCGCAGCGGGGCTGGGATGGCGCTGCCTCGCTCCTAAATAAGACATCACGGCTTTGAAATCCCCCCCTGGGCTCGCCCCCTCGCCGCAGTGACCCGGCAAACTCCCCGCATGCCAGGGCGGCCGCAGAGCCCCGGCAAACTCAGCGCAGCCCGGCCCGGGGGGGCGGCGGGAGCTCGGCGCTTCCTCGGAGAGGGCAGCTCTGCCTTCCGCCTCGGTTCTGTTTGTATTGATTTAATTGCTTTAATTATTTCAGCCGGGACCGGCCGGGCCGCGCTCTGTGCCTCTCACCTGCCCCTGCTGCCCCCGGGGACGACGACAAGGACCCTTTAGTGCCCGGCCGGGTGGGATCATCCCCGGRGGCCGACCCCAATACCCGGAGAGAGGGGCGAGGGGGTCTGCGCCTCCTTGGGATCGCCCCCCAAGGGACTGAGCGTCCTCCCCGCTCCCCAGCGGGTGGAAGTTGCCCTTCGGATGAGACCCCCGCCCCTCAGGACCCGCTGTCCCACGGGATCGCGCCCCCTCCCCATTTTCCCCGAAGAGCGATGAGGCCGGGAAGCGGCCGCCGATGCGAATCCGTGCCGCCGCCGTCATAAAGCACCCGGCACCCTGACACACAAAAGCAACACCATATGTACCAAGACAACCTGTATGAATTATAAATCGCATCGTAAAAATTGATTGCCTGCCCCCAACCCTTCGGAAACGCGGGCGGCGGGCACCGGCGAGGGGGCAGGAGCCCACCCCGCGTCCCCCCGTGGGTGCCGGCTCCCTTCCGTCCCCTCCCGCCGCCGCGGGATGCTCGCCCGCCCCTTGCTTGCTCTTTTCTCCCTCCCGCTACGCCTGGGCCATAGAGAGCCTTAATCTATTTATTTCAAGCCACTTCATCCTCTCTGCCGCTTTTGTCCCGGCCCCAGCCTCTGGCTTTGTGGCAGGACCGCTGAGGTTTTAAAAGCCCCTTCCCCTATAGTTTGAGGTCTCCTTGGCTGCCTGAATTACAATGGCTAAAACAGGATTACACTGACCTGATCCTATTAAACTCGCCAATCGATCTGTGCCGCCCTCCCTCCGGCTCCGCAAAACTTGCTCGCCCAACTTTCCCCAGGGCTCAGCCTGGGAAGAGGGAGAAGCCAAAGGCCGCCTTTCCAAGCAGGCCTGATGAAGGAAGGAAGGATGGATGGATAGATGGAGGTGACTTTTGTTTAGTTGGTTTGTTGTTTTCTTTT